TAGTAGCCGCAAAGCGATTTCAGAAATGAGAAAGGGAGACGCGGGAACGAAAGGACTTGTGAATGAGGAAGAAAGGACCGTGCACCTAATTATAATATCAATAGCATATTAGATTAATTAGCGTCACATAGCCGGGTGGCAGCCATGCGCAACGCCAGTGTCGTTAAGATTAATTGCCTTGTCCTTTCAGCGAGCCTGTCTATATAAACCGGGTACTACGCTTCTTGAACGCCACGGAACGCGCACGTCCTCGGGCAATCGCGCTACGTCTCACAATCGCCGACGATACGTCCATCTGGGATCAGATAAGACGAAACTCCTTGGCCACAGGTTGCGTTTCACCGTGCGCATCTTGTAACGCGGCGAAGGAAATCGATTTTTCAGCCGCGATCGCCGTCGATTGCAGCTTATCGCGCCTCATAGAAATAGTTCTTAGGCTTCGACAACAATAAAGACAAACGAAATAGTGGGATATCAGAAGGAAAAGAAAAGTAACGGAACGCTATAGGAAAAAGAAAATATTGAATCGAGGGAACTAAGGGAGACAGAGGAATGTTTTAGAAACTTGTCAGAAAACTAATGTTTATCTTTCAATATGTGGCGGCACTCGACCACAAAACATTGAACAGCAAAGCGTCGAAAATCACGACATAATAATACCGCTTGGAGTTCAAATCGAACGAAGCGAGTAACGAAAACATAACAAACAAATACGTCATGCGCTCTACAAGCAGGTTTCGGATAACCGCTAGTGCCACGTAGGAGACACAAGAAATCACGAAAATGATACATCACCGGTGATCTTGTCACGACCGGCATACTTCAAATCCGATAGACTGACGATGGAGATAAAGATGTGGCGGCACTCGGCGACAATGTATATCGCTGAAGTGCCTAATGAATTATCAACATTCCAATGGTCCTTCCACCGAAGGTTCTAGAAGAAAGAGCACGTGGCAACGGTCGCGGACGCCTAGCAAATGTATGGACGGTGGGGATGTTGAGGGATGACAAAAGAAAGTAATCCGATCGAAAGTCAAATTGTAAGAGCTTCAGTCTTGGAAAGTCACGCCTAGAGTTCGGAAGTGGATTGTAAAGTGGATTGTTGTTAGAAAAAAAATAGTTTCTTTTTTTTATTTTTCACCTCAAATTTCTTTTTCTTATATTGTTATTTTACGTGACAATCTCCTCGCGTCGCAGTTCGAACGTTTCATAAATAAGGTGAAGAAATTGAACTTTATATATGGTAATAGAATTTATTATGCGAATGCAATAGATTAACGGTTCAAAGTGTTACAACAGAAAGGCGTCGAGCGCTGATTTCAGAGGATTTTTATACTGAGGTTCTAGTTCTCCTGGAGAGACTATCGTCGGGTGTATATCAGAGGCGGCTATTCCGTTACTATCTGGTTATTGTTCCGATAGCTGTGACATGCAGGATGTTTAGTCTACCCTGTGGCGGCACTCGACCACGGAACTTTCCAACCGCTTCGCCACACAAAGTGTTATATAGTTTCAAAGCGTAAGACCGACATGCCTAATGAGCCATCGATATCCTTACGGTCCTTCCACCGAATTTTTAGAAGGAAGCGTACGAAGCAAACATAGCGAAGCAAACATAGTTGAAAAGCGAGAAACTCATTGGTAATGGAGGATTGTTGATTGTTGGGTGTTAAATAAATTATATTGTGAACGCCAAGAGTATTCCTTGGGCACCTTATGCCAAACACCACCTCAAGAATATAATGTCACCAATTCGTATATTTTCGTGTGTCAGAATAAAACACAATTTTATTCTTCTTTTTATTCGTCACTTTACTCTACACGTTAAACCCTAAAGCGTGGAGAACAGAAAATAAAAACCATTATTTTTTGGACGTACATTTCTAACAACTACCGTACAATTCAGAAGATTTTGATTCGTATACGACATAGACTGTGATGAAGAACACACAGGAGCATGCGAGAAAATCCACTTTTCTTCAGTGGGTCTTTCAAATAATAACACACATAGGCTCACACCAACCAAAAAATTTTACCAAATGTCCAAATCGGACAAATTGTGAATGTAAACAACTAAATAAAAAAAAAAAAAAAAAACATAGGCTCACGATGGTATTTGAACAATTGAACACTCGAGGAAGCTTATTCATGCGCGATACAAGACATTTTGCACGCATATGGCACGATACAATTATCGTGAAATATTAGAAACGACTGGTCGAATTATTTATGTGGGATGGTGTGACGTTAGCGAAAGACGTGGCTGATTGTTTGTAAACGTTGTTAAGATATGTTAATGTTGTCAAGGAGTGTTGTGAGCGTTACTAAGGTTTGTTACAGTAATGGTAATGGTCAGAGTTGAATTAATCGTGATTGAGAGAAGTTCATCGTGTTGCCGTGACGTAGAAATAGTGTTAAGCGAATTCGTAAAGTGCGATATTATATTCAATATTGTGAGAGTGTTACAATATCGTGTTTATCATACTGTCTTTTCTGTTAATTTATAATAAACATTCCTACATTTATTTTACACGTTAGACCATTTACGAAAAATTCTATAATTATACCAGCTAATTTGATAACACAGCGCAAAGTCGATCTGTTGCCGATTTGCTAATGGACGTATTACTAGACTAATATTGCACGTTTTATCGCACCGCGTGTGACGTTTAAATCGAAAACATGTAAAAGTTGTTAAACACGTAACGACTTGAAACATTAATCGCGAAAGAGAAGTGAATGGTTTGATTGGTTGAATCAGCACTTTACAGGTATTACAGTCAATGTGATCAGAGACGAAAGGATTTATCTTTAATACCAATAGCTGCTCCGGTATTTATGTATTTTACGCTGACTATAAAATCCGCTTAATACAGCATTAAATGTGGAGGTACGCGAACACGGCAATGTCATATGCACGAGTAAGCGTCCATTTAATTGGCGTTTTCCTACCTAGTAAACAAATGAAAATGCAATTATTGCAGTAATAAAACGTGAACCGATATATCCCGTTAATGTCCTCTTTTTAATTCTCACGGATTCTCTTTCGTAATAAATAATTGTCTTCATATGAAATTGCGATCTATTCGTACGATAGATATGAATCGGCGTTATTATTCCATTCCGAAACACACGAAAGAAAATGTAAGATCTGTGTCGTCAAGTTTTAAGATATAATTGTGTTTGTGGATAGCTACTGATTGTGATAGTGATTAGACTGTTTGTAGAATTCTATGTATCTTTATAGTTTTATAGATATGATTGAAGAAATGGAACTTGTACTGAAATTTTGTTCATCTGCTAAATATCAGAAGGAATATTGTGCTTTGGATATTTTATATGTTTTTGTGGAGTATTTTATTTTATAAGTACACATAGAGACATACACAGATTTTACATATATATGCCCTCTGTGCATTTTCGCACCTTCCAATTTCCCACGAATACGTAAAAATCTGCATATTTTACTTTGTATCTTTATGATCTTTACTTTGAAATCTTTATGATCTAATTATTATAAAAGGAAATTACTTTTTAATGAACGTATTAGCATATTAGCTTTAGAATTTCTTCTTACAAAAGACGTATGTAGAGGGCATTTCCAAACAGCAAATTCAAAACCTTGCACAGTGTAGTATATTCTATAATAATCAAAAACGAACGAAAAGTATTATCTTTAGGAATGTACAAAATTAACGATTGCTGTAACGAGTATACAAAGTTCAATGATTTCATTCGTGATTTTCAACCCTTCCAAAAAGTTCTGCCTTTTGTTGGTTTCAAAAAACATCTGACAAATAGTTGCTTAATCATCAAACAAGCTACCTAAAAAAATCCAAGCTTTTGATCAGGAAAAAATCTATACAACAGCTCGTGTTTCGTCCTAACCTTGGCAGAAATGGTCGCTTCAAGGGCTCATTTGAAGACTATGGCGACAGCCAGGATGCTATTAGTCGAGAAAATAAGATTTTTGGCATCGACGAATCAACGTGTATCCTGGACAAACAGAGTCAAAGCTCGGATGTTATGATCATTAGCGAAGATTCAGTTTGAATCAAACACTCGACAGACATAGTTTGCATACTCTGCTTTGCATTTCAATTGGTAAATGAATGGAAATCCGCGTGATTTACAAAATGATCTTTGTGCGTACTAGTAGAGATACTTTCATTGATCTCGTCCACTAAATATCGGAATGATCATTGCTAATGCTAATTAGTATAGCTTCATTGACGTTTATCATCAATTGTGCATATATATCAAGCTTTTAGCTGAAATGTACTCTCGATTCCATGTATTTCCATAATCTGTCTAAAGAGGATAGGTCAAGTGACCACGAGGGTCAGGTTACAGGTTCAGAGTCAGTTTAACATTGCAAAACGCTTGCAAATGTTACGTGATAGGTGATATCATGATTTGAAGAGCATTCTGAATATTCTTCTATCGCATTTGGTCCATTTTCATTACGAAAAACATGCACACACACTCGAACAGCGTATCCATGTGTTTTTCCAATGGCACTCGATGTCAGATGCTTAAAGAATTACGTTTTACTGCAAAATAGAAATATGACACAGATGAACGACTCATTTCATAATCCCTTAACATGATCTTAACACCATAGTACTAAAATAACTGTTTAAGTTTGTGTTAAATATTTAATGATACATTACGCTTTTATTATAAGCAATTGTCTAAGATTGGTTTTTTTTTTCATCATAATGGTCTGGAGTAAAATGTCTGTTACAGATTTTTCTTTTCTCTCGTATCTCTACACAGTGTACTGTGGCGGCCAGAAGAGAGTTTCTAGAATAAGAAGTGTAAAAATACATCATAATTTTAGAAAATGGATTTATGTTTAATAAGATCAAGGAATAAATATAATATATACCACAGGATAGATGACAGAAATGATTAAAATTCATAGTATATCGATTCTAAACTTTTTATATGTATTTATTTAGCGACCTATTACGCTTTCGTATTTCATGTATAATATACCATGTTTTTGTTACGAGCAATAGCTGTCTGTGTTTCGTCCTTTGTTTTTAACCGAGCACATCAATTGCTCTTAACCTTCAATGAATGAAAAAAAACCTTCAATATCATCGCGTTTCATGTGTACGCAAATGAAAGAAAAAGTATCGATACAATGTTTCTTACACATTCGACTACATGGAGCCGCAAAAGTTTTACAACTTGCACAAAAGATTTTCGATATCGATTTTTGACTAGATTTTTCCCATGTTGTGCTATATAATCGAAAAGCATTTGTACGGTTTATTTATACGGTTTATTAAACCGTATTGTAATACAAAATTTTTATTTCCTTTTTTGCAGTAGATTATATTTAATTAAATAGCGTGCACGTACGCTATTACATAACAATTTTGTTATTTATAGTTATCTAATTTAATAATAAGGTTATGTACGATAGAATCGAAAACGAGGACAAGCAGAGAAACCACGTCGCAGTTGCACCTATATTGGTAGTATGATTCACTTCTTTTATTCTATTTTGCATAATCTATTTCAAGAAATATGGGCATTACGTGTCACGCGATCATCGTCATTTGTGATACATATGTGTATGACAATTACTACGTAACGAGCGATTGTAATCATCCAATTATCCATAGTAGTGTCAGAGTTAATGGTTCCGAGTATATCTTTTTCCTTCTTTTTGTTTCGAGTTAGCTATATGTAACACAAAATCGGTTTACGAAAAAGCTTCCAACTATACACGATGAAAATAAAAATCTAATTCTTCACGGGTATATTTACTTTAAAAAGGATTAATATTTTGTATAGTTTGAACGAAAAGCAATTAAGTTTGGACTATTTGGTTTGTACACAGGAAAAACGCCAATCGTAGTGTTTACAAAGTCTATTTGCCCGGTAACTGTTTCGCTGAATTGATCTATTAATTTACATGTAAAGTTCTTCTCGCTGAGTTTATTCTAAAAATCATTTCCGCCCATTTAACTGACGATCAATAGTCAGGATATAAAAATACACAGCTTGAGAAAATACTATAATAGAAATGTTGGGAATTAACTGCAATAATCCTGCATACTGGTTTCTTCCCAGTTTAAAAGTAATTTTTCATTTTGTCCATTTTTCTTTCCTTGAAATTTCACTTTGCTTAAAGAAATTAACACGTAGCGATAAAAACTATTACATGACATTCTAGAAACTTGCAAGAGTATTCAAGACTTTTTAAGGATTGTTTAAAACACAGAAATCTAAAAAGAAAATAAGGTCCCAGACGTAAGGATAATTACGTGATGTGTCACAACATGCTTTAACAGTATTAGTCTACTTGCTAGGAATAGACAAAATAGCATAGAGTTAAGAGAATTGAAAGAACATATGCTCGAATAATTTTTTTTTTTTTTGTTTAATATTTCACATCCACAATTTGTCTAATTTGGACATTTGGTAGAATTTTTTAGCTGTTTGATTATCATGTGGGTGGCTACCCCCAGTGGGGTACCATCTTCGTGTTTGTTGGGTTATATCCTTTATGACTTGAATAATTGATATCGAGATTGCAACATCAATAATAAGCTTTCAATTTATTGAGGTATGTGTAACTTTGTGTGCTAGACTAGACTAGAGTGTGTGAAGTATGTACGTGCACAGAGTCTCAAATGCAACTGTTCAGGTAATAGTGTGGTATAGAAGATGGCGAGACAAAGAGAATATTGAGACACGTGCAAATGTATATCGACGAATATCTTGTAAATCACATATTAAATAAATCTGAAACTATTTTGATATCAATTCTAAGTATAATCTAAGTGTTCCTATACATTTATTTCGGTGATTAAGATCCACAATTCTCAACAGAATTAAAATTGAAATTGAAATTAGTTGTATTATAAAAATTTCTTAAATGAGAATAGATTAGTCGAAATCTAAGAAATAAACTAATGATAATAAACGCGATATAATAGGAGCCAAAGGTTGCTAGAAATAACATGTTGGAGAAAATATTTTAGTAGAAATGTACGAAATAAACTGCAATAATTACGCGATATAATAGCAAGCAAAGGTTACTAGAAACAGAAAATCCGCGAAAATATTTCAGTGGAACTCTGCGGAACGAATTACAATAATTACACGATATAAGAGTAAGCAAAGGTTACTAGAAATAACAAGTTTGAGAAAATACTTTAGCAGAAATGTGAGTCATGGGCCATCATGCTTACATGATATATTACAGTTAGATAACACGAAGCTCTGTATTTCTCGTTTTTGGTCTCACGCAGAACGTATGTATGCCAGTTCTTTCGATATGCCATGAATGGGCTAAAAGCTTCGCCGCTGGTCAAGATAAGTTAAGGAATAAACGGCTATGTTTTGTTACTTGTATCCGCATACTCGCACACAGGGCACGCTAACATTAAGGATAGCGAGATAAAAAGAGAGAAAGAGATAGCTTGCCTTATGTAAATACATATATATTCGCTGTAGTGCCGCTAACTGTACCAACGTTATTAACATTGGCTTTGCATGGCTTAATATTTAAATTAGCGATCCATAGTTGGAATTCGTTTCAGCGATAGCGCATGCTTCCGTGGATTATTAACATGAGCCAGCGAACTCGGCCAACACGACAGGTGGTATGTCTATATCGTTGAGAATATTGCTTCGAACGAACTTTAAAACGTCACGGGGCCAAGCAATTTTCCATTGGGAAACAAATTCTTCTCTCTTTTAACTCTACTGCAATCCACGAATTTTCATATCTTAATCTCCTGTTTATTGAAATGTTCCTGTTACCTCAACTCATTTGGGCAAGCGCGTTAATTTACTCGAGGCCAAAGGTAAACATAAACATTGAATTAGATTAAATGGACGGTTCTAACATGTTTCGACAATATCAACACACTGGAGCATAAATTGGCAGTGCGAATCGTCATAATCTTGCTCTCATCCCAGCAACCAAAAGCGATTTGTAGTATTCGAAGATGCTTCGCGTAAAATTGGAACGAAACGTCGCGCGTATTAATTTTCATATTTTTCATATTTCGCTCAAACTGAAGGTATTTTCTAATGTTAAAAATAGTACAATAACTGGATAGAAAGTAACGTAAAGGGCGTAGCAGCGTCGATCCCGATCGTCCTGGAAACCATTCAACTTCTGTTGGAAATATTCTTCGGTATCAGGAATAGTTTCGAAGGTATTTTTTTGCGAAGATCGATTTAAGTAGAACACCCTGTATAATGTCAAAAAGTTCCCAGCAACAGCTATGAGAGAAAATATGCTGGATGTGAATAAAATATTTAGCAAACAATGAGACGAGGGATGGACATGCGCATCGAGCTGACTGAAAGCTGGTTGAGCAAGTGTGCTATTGAGTACGCGTGAAAGGATCAGAGTGTTCTTGAAAGCGGTCAGTTCATTGAAGAACACAATATGGTGAATGCGGTGAATGGAAAAAGAAGACAATTACACAGGGATATAGCGAAGAGAGTAATTATGCTATTTGCATACATGGTGTATTATTATTGATTCAAGACTCATCACGCGATCACCGCTTCAACAGCCATGTAAAAGAAATTGAAATCATTATATCACATTGTTGCTGCAGGTTGATAGTGATACGACTTAAAAAAATGTCAATTTTAATATGTGCGTTTTTAACAACACTAAATACAGGCCTTATTTAATGGGATTATAAATATGCATGACGTTTTACACGATAGAAACAAAAACACAACGTAGACCTTGTATTCGATAAAAGTAAGCTTGAAATTTGTTTAGTACGTGACAGTATCGATATCAAGCAGCGGTATAACACACGTTTCTTGGATTTTGCAGCGAATTATTATATGTTTTACTGTATATTTTATATTTCATGAAAAAGACACGAGTTCATTTTTATTGATTTCCTAACTCGGCAATTAAAAGGTGTTATTTTAAGACAAAGTAGTTCATCTTTAAAAACTTTGGAATCGTGGAACTATGTATTACAAAATCATAGAAAAATAATAAAATTTTAGAAATCTGCTGCATTCTTGTTATCTTTTTTTTTTATTTAGAGAAATAAATTATAGATTAAATATTGTGAAAATATAGTAATTATTTATTTCATTGACTGTAGAGCACAATTTCTAAAGAACATTAACCTATTAGTAAATATTTCAAATACAAAGAATGGTAGCAGCTAGAAATATTACTAAAATATTTGGGTTATAAAAAGAGTAAAACAATGTCTTGCAAATAGTAGTACAAATACAAGTGCATTGAAAAATAGCATGTACCTAAGTATTGCCAAATACATTTACAACATTATGGGTTTACTAAAAATATAAATCTTCTTAAAACTGATTACAAATCTACGAAATTTCATAAGAAAAGGACAGCGACTAACGCGAGGACCAGACTGCAGATTTTTATGTATTTATTTATGTATCTTTTATTTATTTAAATTTGAGAGTGCAAAATTACACAGCGTGCATACGAAATCAAAACATATGCGAAATATCCAAAGTACAGTGCTTTTTACGACACTTGACAGATAAAACAATTTCCCACCGAGATTCTACTTTTTCAATCATATTCTCAAAAATATGAATCTGCATAAAAATCCGCCGTTTAGTTATGACAATCGATATCTATGAATCGATCATAGTTCTACTCCCACAACTACACCGGATGACAGCACTCATGAAATATAGAATGGACCGATAGGTATTGAATATAAAAAATGAAACTCGCCAGCAAACGACAGAGTACGTATCTTATCACTAGACCGCGGGTGTTTATGTAAATTCAAATTTTTATCAATAGAATAAAAAAGAATGGTACATAAATAGGGATTTGTTTCGTTGTTTAAATATCATATCAGATATTTTCGATATTTTCTATATTTTTATACGTCACATGTATCGTGCGCGCTCGTGTGCACTTAAATTTAACAAAAATGCATGGAAATCCGCAATATACTTATCGTGCTTTTCCTTTTTTGTCTGCATAACTGTTCGCTATTATGGTAATGCGTCTACGAATTTACATTGCGGTAATACGATTGGCGGTGTATTATCAGCGAGCGCAACCAATCGCTGAATCATAATATAAAACCATACGCGAGGTCGAGATCAGCCAATCACTGAGCGAATGGCGAAACAAAAATTTATACATATTTCTGCTGTTGCAACGTGGAGGAAGGAATATGTGGCCGCGATACATCGAGGCGATATATTATCGAGATTGCCAGGAAGCTTGGTACCGTGGCATCTATCACCACTGACATAGATCCACGACGATCTTCGTGCATTATCGAGCAACGGTATTGTCCCCGTTTATAATGATCAGCGAACGAATCGTGGGCGATATATTTTGCGGGCTGCCGGCCCAACAATCGCGCAACAATCCCCTCAACACACCCTCGTGATCCGTATTTTTAAGCAGCTTTCATTTATCACATTACCGTAAACAACGCGTGCGAGGCTGATTCAATTTGAAACACGACACACATAGATTAGCTGGTTAATTCCGACTGAATTGCCCTTTACGAGCAATAGCTTTGATCTCGGCAGCCACGCGATGAAAGTTGAAAAATAACGCCTCGCTCAACGTTGCTACCACGCGATGCGTTTGAACAAGGACGTTTATTCTTCGCTCCCCATAAACTGATTTTCATGGCTGGTTCTAGCAAATTTGTTGGTCCTACTAGCTGCTTTCGCGTGATATGTAGATTGTTCCTTATTTATTTTACGCTTTTAGATTCGAATACAGATCACGTTTTAGTATTTAATCTTTCATACGTATTGTTATTTATCTTTGATCGTTACACACGATTTTCTACTTTCTTTGCTAGTCCATTGTGGAATTAATTTTCCTATATAGTTGACTATGAAAAACAACGAATTATTAATATTGTAGATAAATTTTTGGAAGTACGATGTTTCGAATATTTTTCAGTTTTATATGAAATTAAATCAAATATTATACGAATATATTTTTCGATTAAATAATTTTAATCGACAGTGGCACATTGCTTGATTTATCATATAGCGATTGAAAGCCAAGATTTTGCAGCAATAATGCAAATCAATAAATTAAATTACTGGATTTATATAATCAAGATATATCAGGAGATTAGTAAATAAAGTTACATAAATATTTTTCAATTTTACAAATATTCTTCCCATGCAAATTTGTTAGATAAATTATGTACAGTTACTAATTGCATACAACATTTATGTTATGTATAGGCAGAAAATTGACGATTGCTAGAAACAATTTCAGTAGATCTCAATCTTCCCTCAAGTGCATACTGCGGAAATCAGAATCTAAAAATTGCGATACCAAGAAGAAAAGTATGTGTTGTATGCAAATGGGAATTCGAGATCGGCCAGCAGTAAGATACATCGCGCAAATTACCCACGTACCATCGGCCATCTCTCGCGTAACCTTAGCGGCAGACATACCGCCGGTTGAGAATTATTGACCTATATATTTCATTAGAAACTATTTTTCGAAAAACGTGAAGAATGCACGAACATACTTTTTCTGCATCCAAAGATGTGTTAGGTTTTTTCGCAAGATGAATAGGATATCATAGTTTAGGTACCTACTCTACAGGAAGGACGCAGAAACTTACGATCCTATGCTGTACGATCTTAACTTTTTGCAAAGTCGTTACGCCTGATAGGATGCGAAGAAAATCACAGCAGATTGATTTTTCTCAAGCGAAATAAGTATATTTTGTAACAAGACTCAAAAGCTGATTGAGACTTGTATATTGAAAAATTGTATAACGTAGTTTATGGAACACTATTTGTCTGTGAGTGAGTATTATCTTTATCGAGAAACGTTTCTATTGTATAGAAATTATAGTAGCTAGTAACTCAGTTTAGTAACAGTAAGTCGTTTTTAGACAGACATTTTTAAGCTAGTATGGCACTACAATAAGTTCGTACGTCTTTGGATTTTAGGAAAGTCTATGTTCTTCCATCTGTTTTCTCTTCTCATTTTACAATTTACTTGTTTCCTGCATCCTTCTATTTTTCTTTCCAAATCTGTCCATTCTTTTCTTTAAGAGAGATTTTGCTCGAGATCGAATTGTTCTGCATGTATACATGCAAGTGCGATCCATCGACCCAGAGGTGCACTACTTCCCTCACTTTCTTTGTCTTCTTCCCTTTTTTCCTATATTCTTCACTTACCCTTTCAACCTGTTTCATTCAAAACACGGCAAAGGCAATATTATTATTATTACGATGGTTGTTATTGTTGTTGTTGTTGTCGGCAATGTTGTTGTTATCGTTGTTGTTGGCGGAGTCGTTGTTATTATTGTTGTTGTTGTTGTTGTTATCTGAAGAAACATCCAACGAAATGCAAGAGAGAAACTAAATATAATGAATATTTCAAACATTCATTAGAATAAAATCTTTGTCATATAGACACATGCGTCAGAATGTAAATCAATTTCAACGTATCCGCTGAACGTAAGATATTTGGTAATCCCATGAAGCGGAATTTACGCTGTTTCACTCTGGAAGAGCACGACTGATGATCGCCGCTTCCACCCTAGTTTCATCCGCCGTGTACTTCCGAAGCGAAACAGTGTAAATTCGACTTAAGTAATGTACTTTCTTATCTTACTGTAGACAATCGTGTGTATCACGTTTCGCTGATGTGTTTACAGGAACCCTACTTCACGCTTCCGAAAGAGGATCATCTGGACAGTGTGCAACATGAGTTTGAAGCAATTGGATCGTTACTTCACACATCAAGAGAAGCTACAAAATGAGTGTCAGCGAGAAGCATTTGCGGTATTGTATACTATACGAGTTTAAAAAGGGCACCACAACTATGGATACTGTTAAGAACATTTGTCAAGTATACGGCGAACATGTGCTGAATGTGAGGAAGTGTCAGGGATGATTCTCAAAATTTCGGAATGGTGTTTTCGACCTTGTTGACGAGGCCAGGTCTGGTCGAAGAGTAACCTTCGATGTCGAAGCATTGATAGTTGTAATTGAAGCAGAACTTCACTTGACTACCGAGGAAATAGCAAACATAGTAGTAGCAGTAGTATCCTACATCGATATTTGCATCAGATTGGAGAAGCTCCTAATGAACGTGAGTATTAATTTTCTTCGCTAAAGGATGGAAGAGTAAACTATGAAATCACCTGATATATTATCATTGTATTTTTTAACGTAAAATTATGATCTGTAAAAAAAGTATTTGAAGTGAATATTACAATTTTGAGTAAACTGTCGCTAAATATGATAATTGTTGAGTCATCTTATAGGATCAACGATGATATTCTCTTTAGCAGATGAATAAATCCATTCTATATTCTATTCATCGGATGAATGAATTATGAAATGACAGAAAAAGATGTGTTCATAACAGTTTCCAGGAAACAGCTTGAAACGATTTATACGGACCATCAACTGCTTTCGAGCGTATCATTAATTTCAAGCATCAGGAATTCAACTTTAATTTAATGAACGAAGATCTGTAGGACGCACCATTAATTTTACGGAAGCTTCGACAGCGTCCGGATGCAAAAAAATATGACGCTTCCTACTTGAGCTTCACTTACTCTCATAAGTGAATGTAGCTTTTAACATTTGTAACAGACATTATATGTACGTACAGAAAAATTAGAAGATATTTTGTTGGATCACCACTTTTCTCTTAATACAATTCATAAACGATCAAATACACGAAAGATGCAGTTTGGAAAAACTTATTCGGCACGTGTTAGCTTCCAGAAAGTTAGTTCCTAGTGAGTCGTACTGTGGGTAGAAGCTGGTTGAGACACGACCAGTAGTCAAGTAGCAAGTAAAGCCGAATTTATACTGTCTCCCTGTGAATGATGCATCGAAAAACGTTGCTTTCATCCTCGTTTACGGTGTAAATTTGGCTTTACTGAACTACTAGCCGTATCCGAGCCAATCTTAAAGCTTAGAAAACTAAGGTCAGCGCTTCGTCACCTAAATATCGTATGCAGTGAGGGACAAAATCCGCACAGTTGCTTTACTGTACCATAGAAAATGAAAGTGAGATATTTTATTATATACATTCAATACATTCAACACGATTAAATATATTCAAATATACGTAAATTTATACTGTATAGATATTTATAATACTTATAATGCTTATATATATTACGTTATTATTATTATATATTATTACTTATAATAAATGTACACAAACAAAGGTTGATCCATACCACACGAGTATATACAATATAACATCGTTACAATTCTTGTTCTACAAATCTTGTCTCATTATAAATTACCGAGTGATTTAATTGACATTTGTTTGTGTACATCTAAGAGTGTTAAGTGTCTGTGTATAGTATAAAGTTATGCATATTTGAATAGTATAAAAAATAATTCTCTTTTAGTTATATGTCTACGTTCTAACTGTACGAATACTTATATCTGTCACTTTACATGGGTTCCAAAATCTACAGGACAATAACAGAAGTATGCTTTAAAAAGGCGATCATTAGGAACGTGTTACTGTTAGCTCTCGGCGTTTATTTATTATATTTTATTTAGCAAGTCTAGAGCACGAGTCTGCAATGACAAATAGTAAATATACAAAAAAAAGAGAAAGAAAAACAAAAATGCATAGGAAATATAAATACACAGTGACTCAAAAAATACAGATTTTAAACGAAAGTATCTTTACAGGAAGACAAATTAGGAAGAATAGGGGGAGTGAGATTATTGATCGAATAATTTATTACACTCTTCACGTCAAACTGAGCTATAGATGAGAAATGCAAACAGGTCCAAAACTGATGGAAAAGCTGATACACGGCAGACTAAATTACCGTCACTTTTCGAACAGCACCTGTTGATTTATATCGCTAACACATTAATAAGTGAGCGCTTATATCATGGCTTGGCATGCGGCTCGGATCAATTTTTTCAGTCACTGCACAGGAAAAACGAGGGATAAAGAAAGTTGAATTTTAATAACACGTTAGAAGTTGAATAATTGCAACGCTGGACGCTTCAAATTAATAGTAACATCCAGATAAGAAATTACTCGATCCATTATTTGCATAGTTGCATATTCCGGTGATGGGATTATAAAATCTAAAATCGCCCGAGAAGAAGTCAATCTGCAAGACCAGACGTACTCTGTAAAGGACGTGAGCGTACAGTGAAATTAATAAGCCGACGTAACACAAGATTGTCAGTGTGATTATTGATGACTTAAACTTCCATGCATATACAGCTGTGTTTCTGTCTATTCCACGGATAAATACATTCGTTCACGTTTTAATAAAATCCTTGGAAATCCGGGTGTAGATTATTTTATCAAACATTATACATATTATAAAGTACGTATAGAATATTTTATCAAATATCATACGTGCTACGAAATATGTATGGAATACCTTATCAAATATTAAGATCGCAGAAAATCAAGTTTGCCGTGTCGAATTTTCTCGGCCGAGAAAGCGGCAATAAAGGTCCTTTGCCAGATAATCGAAATAGCAGAAATAGCAGCAAAACGGAGGCTTCGTAGCCCATCGGATGCAAAGGAGCAACGAGGAAAAGAGAGTAGCGTGTTATATTAAACCGTTGAAACTTTCACGTTGAACGTACGTAACGTAATCCGCGAAAGCCATTAAGACGTGGCTATCAGGGAAAACCGTGATAACGAGTGCGCGCACTTTTGCGAAACGGGCGGCTGTTGCAGGCCGTGTCGCTCGTAAAGGAGCCTCCGTGTCTGCAGTTTAGCCGGCATACGTAAATTCCATAAATTTCCTGCCTGTTAACGGCAACATCCGACAGTAGTCGGTTCCGAGGTCAACCGAGAGTGTATCTTTCCTATGAGGCGACATAGTGCAAATGAATTTGTTCATAAACACCCGTAACTCGAAGATAGTATCATCTGGGGGTAGCCATCCGCGTGTTATCTAGCAATTAAGTTAGAAAAACTTACCAAATGTCCAGCTGGACAAATTGTAAAGTACAAATTAAATAGAAAAAAAGACGTTGTTCTAGAAAACACCCCACTAACTTCACTGAAGAAATAAAATAGTCAAACTTGAAGATGGTAACCCGCTGGGGGTAGCCATCCATATGTTATTTAGCAATTAAGTTAGAAAAACTTACCAAATGTCCAGCTGGACAAATTGTAAAGTACAAATTAAATAGAAAAGAAGACTTTGTTCTAGAAAACACCCCACTAACTTCACTGAAGAAATAAAATAGTCAAACTCGAAGATGGTAACCCGCTGGGGGTAGCCATCCATATGTTATTTAGCAATTAAGTTAGAAAAACTTACCAAATGTCCAGCTGGACAAATTGTAAAGTACAAATTAAATAGAAAAGAAGACTTTGTTCTAGAAAACACCCCACTAACTTCACTGAAGAAATAAAATAGTCAAACTCGAAGATGGTAACCCGCTGGGGGTAGCCATCCATATGTTATTTAGCAATTAAGTTAGAAAAACTTACCAAATGTCCAGCTGGGCAAATTGTAAAGTACAAATTAAACAATAAAAAAAAGTATTAATTTTTTGGTATCTCGCTGGAAGTAGCCATCCACATGTTATTTAGCAATTAAGTTAGAAAAACTTACCAAATGTCCAGCTGGACAAATTGTAAAGTACAAATAATAAAAAAAAACCTCGTAACCTTCGTACGTAGGTAGCTGAGAGGGTTCTCCGAGCGTGGACATCGAAAATACAGAGTCATTGAATTTCAGTCACAGTCGATGAATCTTTCATTAAGAATTTATTCCACCTTTTCCGCCCCACTAACGCATTCCACGAGCGATGATCATCAGCGTTTTCTCGGATTTCTACAAAAATCTTATTGTAGCTTGAATTTCCTCCCGATCATTTGTATAAATATACATATAGATAAACAGTGAATGATCTTTTGCAGACGTCGTATACAAATAGATCTATGGATCAAGATAAGAAACAAAATCGGGAATAATCAAATTGCGCTGGTGATTTTGTTTTTGGAAAAATCGAATTTGAAAGATTGTCGAATCAACGTGAATTTAATTCGCAGGCAGATAGAAGTAGATAGGAAGTTGTTCTACACGCGAAAACAAGTCGAGAATAAAGTTTGTTCGCGTGGAATCTCATTTTTCGGGAAAATTATATTTGATAATTCTTCGCTAACGTGTTTCAATTTTATTCTACGATTTAAGCAAATTCACGTATATCTGGCAAACTTTCAAATTCGACTTTCTCAAGAACGTGTTTTCCAGCGCAATTTCTTTATTTTTGATCTTCGACTTATCTTAAATCATAGAATCTCGCAGATCTCATTTCTACCACGAACCGTTACGCATCATCCTGTATATACAGAGTGTATCGTGATATGTGAACCTCGCTTCAAGAGTGGATAGGATGCAGAAAAGCGAAAAAAGAAGAAACAATGGAAAAATTCATACGAACGTGCCTTCTATCTGACCTTGTTCCAAAGGCATTTCTGCGTTCCAATAATCTGCAATTGCTTATCTTCGTAGAAGATCCTTGAAATAACTACCATCCATTTCTGTCATTTGTCATTGTTTGGAATTTTTGAAATATTGCGAAATTCTCTGATACGACGACTACAAGCTGATCTACAGACCGAGGTTAGACAAATATAACTAAACAAAATAAACATAGACTTATTTTAAGTGTTTAGAGGAAGGTAGTAGACAATGAAAGAAAAAAAGCTCGTAAGAGATTCCAAGAAAGCATAAATATTTTATTCTTCCTTCGTAATTGCTGAAAGTTAGTAACAGTTGTTATTGAAGTCTAGCTTTTTAATAAGAACACTTTCAATGGCTCGGCATTAATTGACTTATTGCGGTGAAGTATTTAATAGTACCGCCAACACAGCTTTAATAATTTTAAATGGCCGCAGGGAAATGAGTGTAGAACCGGAAGTTTACAACGCGTCAGCAGCTACTTAAACGTAACACAGTATAAAGTTCTCGGTGGTTACTCGGTAAGTTAACTGAAAACAAAGCCGAACGTCTTTGGAAAGACGAGCAAGGAAGTTTGTAACGAAGTATGAAACTTGGATACAATCCACTTGCATACGGGATACGTACTGTATAGAAGCGTTAGTTAGTCAGACTACTTTGAAACCGTACCGTCTTCAAACGTGTCTCGCATAGCTCCAACAAAGTTAGCTCGTGTCGTTTTTCTGCAGACCCTCTAGCAGAAAAATTCTTTCCCGCCAACGTTTAGTATATATCTCGCTGAAAAATCCTATTAATTCTTATTTTTAAAAGTACTCTTTATAATACATTGCGTTTTGCAGATTGTAAACATTGTCGAACAGCGCTTTACATCTGTAGCGTTTCTATTAAATTAATGGTGTTTCTTCTTATTCGGATAATAAGGTGCCCGATTCAATTATTTTACGCAAGAGAAATATCCTTTGTAACGTAATCATTGAATACACATTGTGAATTCTGGTGGAAAGGGTCGTACGATAGCATATTACATTATCCTATATATTAATATTCTACGTTAAATTACTCTACGTATAATGCTAATGTTCTATTAATGTAATTGCCTTATACATTAATCGTAACAGAAAACAGGTAAATAATGAAATTATGTAAAATTTCTTTCTGCATGGTTACTGTCTCAGAGTCGCAGCTTGTCCCAGTTATATACTCTACATATTAATCGTAATAGAAAACAGGGAATTACTTGAATTATGTCTAGAGGAATTCTTTTTTATCTTTTACGTCCCAAGGTTGTAACTTGCCCCAGTTGAATGGGACACCATGTATATTAATTATAATAGAAAACAGGAAAATAATGAAGTTGTGTCTAATTCTTTTCTGCATGGTTACTGTCTCAGAGTCGCAGCTTGTCCCAGTTGTTTCAGAGTCGCAGCTTGTCCCAATTGTCTGAGAGTCGCAGCTTGTCCCAGTTATATACTCTACATATTAATCGTAATAGAAAACAGGGAATTACTTGAATTATGTCTAGAGGAATTCTTTTTTATCTTTTACGTCCCAAGGTTGTAACTTGCCCCAGTTGAATGGGACACCATGTATATTAATTATAATAGAAAACAGGAAAATAATGAAGTTGTGTCTAATTCTTTTCTGCATGGTTACTGTCTCAGAGTCGCAGCTTGTTCCAGTTGTCTCAGAGTCGCAGCTTGTCCCAGTTGTCTCATAGTCGCAGCTTGTCCTAATTGTCTCAGAGTCTCAGCTTGTCCCAGTTATATACTCTACATATTAATCGTAATAGAAAACAGGGAATTACTTGAATTATGTCTAGAGAAATCCTTTTTTATCTTTTACGTCCCAAGGTTGTAACTTGCCCCAGTTGAATGGGACACCATGTATATTAATTGTAATAGAAACCAGGCAAATAATGAAGTTGTGCCTAATTCTTTTCTGCATGGTTACTGTCTCAGAGTCGCAGCTTGTTCCAGTTGTCTCAGAGTCGCAGCTTGTCCCAGTTGTCTCATAGTCGCAGCTTGTCCTAATTGTCTCAGAGTCTCAGCTTGTCCCAGTTATATACTCTACATATTAATCGTAATAGAAAACAGGGAATTACTTGAATTATGTCTAGAGGAATTCTTTTTTATCTTTTGCTGTCTCAAGGTTGTAACTTGTTCCAGCTGAATGGGTCACCATTTATATTAATCGTAATAGAAAACTGGCAATAAAAGATAATAGCGACGATGGCAAGTATCAAATCTTGTTACAAGCAACAACGTTCGTTTTCAATCGCAACTTTATCGATCGCAACGAGAACCGTGCGATTAGCAATTAAAGTGGCTTCAAGTAATTGTTGTCTTCTATTTAATCAAATGATCGATTGCACGAAATTCGTTGCGAAGAGGAGAGCCAATGGCCCGTGTATTTACGATTAGTTTAAAGTTCGTCTGCGAGGGTAGCTTGATACAAGCTTCTCGTTTCCCGGGGTAACTGTTCTCGTCCTGAAATAGTCTGTTCACCGGAACTAAAGGAAGAATACAGTAGTTTAGGGTTGATTGTTTAGAATCTTGGAAACAGAGTTTGCGCTGTCAAATTTTTCCACGTGGAATTTCCGAGTTTCATTGGCTGGAACAATGCAGTTCCAGTGAACAGGAGTGTAAATACGCGAAAGTAAGTTAAAAGATTGCGTATCGTTAAATAAGTCAACTGCTAGTAGTTAAGAGTAATCTTATTTCTTTTTACGTAATAATTTTTGAGTTTGCTATCTTATTCCTAGCGACGTCGTCTGCATACTGAGTCGCCCAAGACCATACACTTTATTTTTAGGTCGCTGCGTTTTAAAAAATTCCTCAAAAATTCTTGAATACTCTTCCAAGTTTCTGGAACATCGTCCAGTAGTTTTATTGCTATATGCTACGTGAATTTTTTTAAGCGAATTTTAAAATATACGCAGAATGGAAGATTACTTGAAATTATTGGTCGAAGACGACCGAGTATGCAGACGTTAAATATGCAGGTTCATTGAAAAATTTGAAACTATTGGAAATACAGCATACTTCGCGGTAAATACAAATTGAGATCCTCGTCGCAGATAATTTGAAAGACAACAAAACTCACGACTTGCTGATGTTCATCGAGGAAATCAGATTACCGGATGGAAATTTGTACGATATTAACATTTCGCTGGATAACGAATAACTTTATAGTTGACGTAACATTAAACAATTAAGGAAAAGATAATTCTATTGGAATTTCCGCACTAAATACAAATTAAAATTCCTCGTGAAAGATAATTTGGATGACAGCAAAATTCACCATTTGCTAACATTCGTCGAGAAAATCAAACTACTCGATAGAAATTAGTATGATGTTAACATTTCCCTGTATAATTAATAACATAATAGTTGATGTGACATTAAACTCCACTTTGAAGAAAAGATAATCCTATTGGAATTTCGAATCGGCCAATTGTATATAGTTGCCGAAATAAACGTAAGAAAAATCTGGTTCGACTTCGGAACGCTAATATTCGATCGATAAATATATTATATTTCCTTCGAAAATAATCACGACGATTCTTGCAGAAACGCGAGGATTTGAACAAACGATAAATAAATTTGCTCGATACGTTTGCCATATCTCTTGGAAATATTTTTATCATGCGTGAATCGAAGCGAAAAACGTTTCCTCTCTATTGCCTTGTTTATACAGTTCGACTTTTCATGACACAGCGCAGTCTCGAAATTAAAGTCTACTGTTGTCAAACGACACAAGCCATGGTTTCTCATGCAAATTCGTTTCTTTTTGTCGCGAAATCGGTTTTCTAGAAAAAGTCATTGACCGTGGAATATATCTTTCCCCGAAGCTCCGGTTCGTTTCTTTTGATCCGGGAGACGAAATTCTACGGTTCGGTGCTCGCGATTCGCCAACTTTCGCAATTTACGAAACATTCCGTGTTCTTGGGAACAGCGGAATAGCGACCGTGGTACAGTCGGTTTCCTTTACGATTTCTTTCTACTTTCTT